GGGGGGGGGGGGGGGGGGGGGTTGAAATGCCTAGAAAGTAATCAAATCCAAGAGAAATTATGTGTAAGACGGTGAATAGTAACATGTTCCTAACATTCGTGCGAGATAAAAAGACAAACATATAGTGAAACAAGTAAACACTTCTAGGACCAGATATAAGATGATCAAGTAACAAAATTCATCGGAAAGGAAAGTAAGGAACTTACGGAGCCATCCAACGGTATGTCCCTGTCTCTGGTGTCATTCCTTCGGTCTGCACCTCAATACGAGCAACACCAAAATCAGCAATTTTAATAGACTTGTCCGCCGCGATTAGAAGATTGTCAGACTTCAAGTCTCTGTGAATCAAATTTAGTCCATGCACATATTCCATCCCCCTAGCCACATCCAAGGCCTGCTTTACAGCCAATTTCAAAGGCACTGATCGGTTCATTCGCTTTGTCAAGAACTGGCGCACTGAACCCCCCTTTGCATATTCTGTCACAATACACCAGACCATGGGTTTACGGCAGGCGCCAATGAAGCGAACAATGTTTGGGTGTTTCAGTGTCGCCAACATCATCACCTCCTGCTGAAACTGCTGCTCCATCAAGTGCGCCCTCTCTACATCATTCTCCGGCTTCTCCAGAAGCTTAATGGCAACATCCTCACCATTATATGTACCCTTGTAGAGCTTCCCAAATGCTCCCTGAGCAAAAGCATCCCCCACATTAAGCTTCCGCAAGTCAACTGTCCACTCATCATAATTTCCAAGACCCTCTGTCTGATATCGAGGGTCCATCAAAGCTTGAGCCAGTGCATCATTGCTCAGCCCGGTAGGGGATCTCCCACGATTGACACTTGCCGCTACTGAATAGTTTTTAACATGCTTGAGGCCCTGGTGGCCTAATATGCGTGTATGCGAATCGTTCGATCCAACACTGCTGTTGTCCATTGACATGGCAACGGAACCTCCTCCATTGCTCATCTGCAAGCTCCCATAACTATCGATGGACATGTTAGAACCCTCATTAAGCTTCTGATAAAAGTTCTGTGAGAAGTCATCTTGGTTATTGTTTAGGCCCATAATTCCATTAAACTTTGGACCCTCCAACATTTTCTTTTCCCTTTGTCAACACAATTTCCGAAGCAAAAACTCTGTATAAAATCCGTATATTTACTGCATGAGGGTTTGCAATCTCTGTACCTCAAACGCTAAACCCTACCCGAAAAAAAATTTGATCCACAAAAATGTATTAACTCAAAGTCAAGCTACCTGTTACAAAAACCATAATAAAACCTCTAATAAAACTATCTTTAATTTTCCGGCAATAGCAATTATTACCAGCGATTTTCAATACCATTTTATGATCTTCCTTACAATAATTGTTTTCTCGATTTCTTCATTTATTTCTTTCCTTTTCTGTCAAGTCCATTTCACCCTCAATTTTCCACTCCACAAAAAAGACGTCAAATAAAGAACTCAAAAGCGCAGCTCAAAATATATAAAAATCAAATCTCTTTTACAAGCATCAATACACCCAAAACAAAAATAAGCTAAATTCCTCCAAATAAACCCATAAAA